TCCGGAAGTCCATCCTCAGGAGTGCATGATCTGACCATGACAAGGGCTCTATGACTATCTCCCCCATTTCCAGATCATTTTGCCACTGGCCAGAGACAAAAATCAGATCCAGTGTGTGACCTCCTATGTGAGTGGGTGCATGAACTAATTGGGTCAAGTCCATGGTCGTCATGGAGGCCAGGAACTCCCGAGCCACCGCTGACGTTTCGCCCGCCGATGGCAGGTTGAGATCCCCCATGACTATAAGATCCATCTTCATCTTTTTTGAAGTTGCGTCTAGTTTAATTACAGTCATTTTTGAATCATCCAGAGTCTCAATAGATTGTCTATAAAATAATGTAGAGTCTTCTTTAATATTATTTTGCTCTCCTATTGGTTTTTTATCTGTCAGGTAATCAGTTGGAGTCTGGAGATCAGCCTGCCCTTCTGGGGTAACATCCTTAGTTTCCGTGCTAAAAGTCATTTGTTCATTAGCATCAGAAGTTTTTTCCGGTGTAGGTTGGTAGTCCTGATGTAAGTTTAATTCCTCCATCTCAGTAAATTGTGGATAAGGTTGAAGACGAGTCTCTTGAGTATATACCCCTTCTGCTGTTTCTTGGCTTACAAAGTGCTCACTTACACCTTGCGCTTTGATTTGTCGTTGAAAAATAATCTCTTTTGTATAGGCAATTATTTGTTCGGTATTTTCAAGAATTTTGTCCAATATATACTTGTAATTGAAATCTGGACAGAGTTCCTCCATTTCAGTAGTATATAAAGCCATTATTCTTTTGGTGGAGGCTGTATTTAATAACAATCAGTCAATATCCGCTTCCACCCAGCTATACAGCTTCTTTATCTTTCCCTTTTGAAATAATTTGAAGGTCAAAGTCAGACTCAGAGTCCAAAGAAAGGGAATAACAATTGCAGTAAATAATTTCACCACAAGATGTCCCCAGAGGGTTAACCAGTTGTTCAGTCTTTCCAGACCCCCAATAAAAATAATTTCTTTCCTCTTTTCCTTTTTTCCTTCTTTTCTTTAGTTATAAAAATAGTAGAAAATAAAAAAAAATTCTCCAAATTGCTAGCATATTAAGTTTCTATAATAAGGATTTTAGGACTCCCAAATATTCAAAAATAAAATCAACCATTGAAAAAGTTAAAATTAATTTTTCTTTTGTTCCAAGGCTTTTCTTCCCCCATCAACAAAGCCGCTTTAAAAAGATAGAGAAATTATTCCGGCTTCTCACAGGAGTAAATAGGAAAGGGAGAGGCAAGGAAAGGTCTCACCGAATCTTCCACGGTGGTTCTATTACGCTTAGATGTTCTTGTGGCTTTCGGCTGGTACAGCTAAGTGATTGGCCATTTTACTGACCGATCTTTACTCCGTCGGCCCAAAGGAGCTCACTTGGACAGCAGAGGGCGCCGCCGCCCCTCTGCAGTCAAACAGGCAGCCTCCTCAATGGTGGTTGCCCCTCCAGGGCGACTTTCGACCCAATCAAGGGTCTACCAGCAGGGGAAACTTGGCCGGCAAAGAGACGAGTCTCTCTGAACGACCGCAGCACTGCTGACCCGGAACCGGAAGCCGAGAGCCCTGCACTTCCCATGCTCGCCTGCGTGGCCTTGAGTGCCGGAACCCTTGTCTAGTCAGGTGGAGAAGCGCTGGACCAGTCTCTCCCCTTCCCCGCTGAGCCCCAGTTTTTCTCACAAGTGGGCGCAGCCTTGCTCCGCCACTTGCTGGAGTGCTGAACCCACCCAGGTTTCACAAATTGCACCGCCACGGAGCTGGAGAACTTGGCGCGCCACTGCCCTGCTCCCCTCACTTGCCAAAAACACTCCTTTTCCAAATTGCAAGAGGGGCTCCTAAACAATCCTACTCTCCAGCTCTGTCTCATTTCTCCGCTGCCACGAAGCTGGAGAGCTTGGCACACCACCGCCCAGCTCCCCTTGCTTCGTAGCACTTGCTCCTATTTGGACACGAGCAGGAAGAAAACACCCAGAGGAAGCTGGCTGCCCCTGTCTAGCTTCTAGATTGGGAAGAATGAGGCTTGGCTGGCCCGGTTCTGCCTCCCCTCCCTAAGCAGAGATTTTGCAGAGGTGCAGGGCACGGTAATGCCTTTGCAACTTTGCATAGTGCAGGTTGGCAGAACCAGCTCGCCCCTCATTGCAACCATGACTCTGCCGGTCTGGAATCCCATTTATGGCCTCCGCCTCTAACCTGGAACCAGAGGGAGCCCAGGGAGGGTGGGAGCCTGACCTCAAATGTCTGGGCGAAGCTCCTCTTTGTGCTCCGTTTAATCCTGGTTCCCTTCCAAGCAAGAATGGAACGGGAAATAACTTCCATTGCCTGACCGCTGCTCTTGGCTGTGCCGCTTAAAAAACACTGCGTTGCAAATGGACGAAACGTGCAGGGAAACAAAAGAAATTTGTGGGACTAAAAAAAAAGTTTAATCAGACAGTTAAGTATTCGGTTCTTGAAGGCATTAAGCGAGACGAGTGTTGAAACAGCAACAAGTTTATTTAACTCTGAACAGAAGCAGCTCAAATAGCTGCTGTGCAGCTATTTATATGGTTAGCCTCCAGGCGGCAGCCAATAGGTTTAAAGTAACAGTTTCCCGCCCAAAACCTAATTACCAGCCTGGAGACAGCAAGTCTGGTTTAAGTAACAGCAGCCCTTGCATAACAACAGAATCTAGGTCAGACATTCAAACAAGTGATTAGACATTAAGCAAGTGATTCAAAACAGTTGTGACCAATACATTACACAGACCTTCCAACTTCTCGCAAAAAAAGGCTTGCTAGGGTTTAAGTCAGAATCCCAGTGTGGATATGCCTGAGACAGAGTATGGAGTCTTTCACATACAAACTGCTCTAATATGAACCTACAGTTCTAAAAAACAGTTCTGGCACTCCTTTCCTAGAGCTTATCTGGTCACATAACATATTGGTATTAGGACAAATAACTTCCAGGAGGAGAAGAAATTCCATTTTCTGTTCTGGCCCCCAGAGAACATTCTAAATCCTCTGGAATTCATAAAAGCAGTAAAATCCTATGAAAGTCTTCCCAGTTACACTGAGAGTTACTTGTAATAGCTTTTTTAAAGGGCTAACTGCAGAGGAAAACACACTGAACTTATATCTATAAATGGTGGCTTGCAAGATGCCTACATGACAAAAATGATTTACCTTGTAAAGGCAACAGTAGCAGTACAGGTAGTCCTCAACTTACAATCATTTGTTTAACAACCATTTGAAGTTATAATGGCACTGAAAACAGTGACCTGTGACCAGCCCCTGGACTTATGACCATCACAGCAACCCCATGGTCATGATCAAAATTTGGGCCGTTGGTATCTGGCATGTATTTATGATGGTTGCAGCATCCTGGGGTCATGAGACCTCCATTTACAACCTTCCCAGCCAGCTTACAACAAGCACAAAGTCAGTAGGGTAAGCCGTATTCTCTCAACAACTCCATGATTCACTTAAGAACTGCAGTGATTTGCTTAACAACCATGGCAAAAAAGGTCATAAAATCAGGCACAACATAAAATCAGGTCATAAAACTCAGGCTCAACCCTTCCAAGACCGAGTGGCTGTGGTTGCCGGCGCCTCGGCATAGTCAGCTGACGCCATCGCTGACTATAGGGGGTGAAACCTTGCCCCCCTCGGAGAGGGCGCGCAACTTGGGAGTCCTCCTGGATTCACGGCTGGCACTGGATGACCATCTGTCGGCTGTGACCAGGGGGGCGTTTTATCAGGTTCGCCTGATCCACCAGTTGCGGCCTTTTCTGGACCGGGACGCCTTGCACACAGTCACTCATGCTCTCGTCACCTCCCGCCTGGACTACTGTAATGCTCT